AAATTCATTTTAAAACTTATCCAAATACTGTTTACATGCCCTTTATTTTGCTTGAATTAAGCCCTTTTCCTCTCAGAAAATCTTGCCTCACCTTGCTGAAAATCTCATAAATCTAATTCAACTCAGTTGTAAAATCAGGGTGATTCCCTCTCCTTGCATTCTAGAAATAACCTCATTTTACTCAAACTACTTTTCCTAACAGCTCGTCAGGGCAGTATGTTCTGGCTGAAATACAACTGGCCTGAATATAAGTCTTCTTTTTAAAAAATACACAGACCTACATATGCCAATGACATCAACCTGAGTCTATCCAATTATATAGAAGGCCACTTCAAAATAAGGAATTTCAATCTAAGAAATAAAGCAAGTGCCCTAAATATGAACCTTTAATTTGTGAACTTTCAAAAACGTGAAAGTGCCCCTGTGTGTCAGCAGTTGTACTACTGTACTTTTCGAGGTAGTATACTGTAAAAATGTATTCTTTATTTTTGTGTGTTTGTTTTTTCATGTATTATTTGTGTGAAAACTATTATAAACCTATTCCAGTGTGGTACTATATGGCCAAATGTGTTAGTTGGGTACCTAGGCTAATTTTGTTGGACTTAGGAACAAACAAACTTACGAACATGCTCTCAGACTAGAATTCATTCATATGTAGGGGACTTACTGTGTCAATCCAGTGCACCCAGTTCGACCTATCTACTGTGAGACAAGCTGTCTTCTAAGTCCAATAGGCCCAGCTCCATCCAGAAGCTTCCAGTAACTTTCAGGGTCTTTTGCCTCTGTTGTCCTAACCTCTCTAATAACACATTCTCTCTCTGCTGCTCACTCTGGTCTTCTATCTCTAAACATCCTTTCCTGCCCCTGCCCAAGAGATACAACATGGGAAAGACGTGAAATAAGCTTATCACCTTTTTCATGTACTTTTTAACCTGTTGCAAAATGGTTCTTGACAGCACCTCCCCTATCTAGTTTTGTCCTTCATCAAGCCACCAGAAGCATCCCACTAATGACTCATCTTCTGCTGTGCTAAACGCAGCTCAGAGACACCCTGCCCAAAGAAATGTTCATTTCAGTGAGACCCCTCCAGAGAGAAAACACCTTTAAGATCCAACTGAATGAATTTCAGTTTTTTCAGATCCAACTGGATGGATGTCTGGCACTATGATAAGTGTGTTTAAGATGCCTGTCTCCTTTGTGGACAGGAAAATGAATTTCCTAGCAGACCTGAAGCTATATTATGCCAGCAGCACCTTGCCCTATTTATTCCACGACCAATCCTACTAGACTTCAGCCATCTCAGAATAACAATGAAAGGAGAGGAGGAATGGAGAAGGGACAAAACTCTATGGAGAGAATAGTGTCGTTGCTAGATCGAGAAATTAAAACTAAGCCAAGAAGACACTTAAGTTGCTTTCAGTAATTTCAATCCTCCCAGCAATTCCTCAGCATGCAGGAAACATACTATTTCCAGGTCTTGTGTGCACAGGAGGAGTTGCTTTCTGCTTTGAGTTTCTACTGCTAGATGTGTGGGGCCAAAAGAACATAAAGCCAAGAAACTAACTCACCAAGTGCCAGTTGCTGTTTCAACAAAAATAAAGTGGTAACTGCAGAGAGCCTGCTCCTCTCTCCAGGGAATTCCATGAAAAAAAGAAGCAGCCCTTTATCCTGTAGGGCTATTTATTTGATCAATTAACAAAACATGATGGGGTCCTTTACAATTAAAGGGGACCGTGATTTTGCTCTGAACTACCCATCAGCTCACATCTTGGACTTTTACCCTTTACCCACTTTTCCAGTCTGAAAACAAACACCACACAGGGAGTTTTATCACTCAGCATTGTCGTTTGAGGACTCACGTTCAAAAGACTAGTTAAGGGACCCACCAGACTATTCACCTTTTAATAAATATGGACAGTTTAGATTCGCTGTTTTTGGAAATTTTACAACTTAAATGCTGTTCACATCTTGAATCTGGAATTTGCTCTAGTTCAGTCATCCTGTTGGGTGTATAGTATTTCATTGCATGACTATCTCATGATAGGATATATAGCTTTTGATAAACAGCTAAGAGGAAAGGGAGCAGAGAGTATGGCAACTTCTGTTCCAAGGACAAAGAGAAGGAACGATCTAGAAGAATCTGGGGAAATGGCTACTCCTTGTAAGAAGAAGACAACTAGCTAAAATCTACCCTACAGGGAGCCAGAATAGAGAGGGGATTTGGGGTCTTGAAATCAGTAAAGGGCTGAAAGAACTTCTGGAAAACTGGTCTGGGCTCACTTGGCTATTAAGTAACATCAGGTCTAGAAACAATTTCCCTTAACCTCTCTTTCTGATGACATTTGAACTGTTAAAAACAGAAAAGTCCCAGTCATTGTCTTCACAATCTTTTAAAACACATGAGAAACACAGACTTCCAGTTAGTCCTGGAGAAAATGTGAATTACACATTATTGGCAATCTGTATTCCTTTTTTTCTAGACAGAATATACTTTGCTTTTTTGTCCTTTTCAATTAGTAATAAAAAGAACAGCCTACTTTCTATGTTCTTTTATTTGTAAAAGCTTTAACTTTTATATTATATATACATATATATGCTTTATATCACACACATGTTTTGATCACTTGATTCCAGACAAGCAACATCTATAAGCTTACTTAAAACAATACTAGACTTTTAAAAATCTGATAAATCTATGTGCCTGAATGATGAAAATGCATTTTAAAAATATTATCCTTCCATGCACACAAATTAGAAGTTGCAGATGTAACAAAACCAAGTGCCTTCTTTCAAAAGACAGCTTTTCTGAAGGTACATGCCCTCTGAAAAGTTCAATCACATGTTCAGGTACCACAGACGAGATGGAATACATCCCATTGCATAGTTGCTCGCTGTTGACACAGAAAGACAACTCAACAGAAGAGCAGGATGAAATCCTCAATCTTTCTGGGAGAAGTAATAAAAGACTTGAAAGCATTTGTGCAGTAAATTGTACAGTAAATAAACTGAGGAAATGTTAACAGGTTTAATGATCAAGTACCATGATGCGGGCTAGCACCAATACCTAAGAAAAACACACATGTACTTGTCTTCATTAGATTTGTATTGAAAAACTCAGAGTGACATTACATCCCAGAATGTCTATGTCATAAGTCATTAATTCTTTGAGGAACACTTGTATTTAATAGAAAATAAAAAATAGAATGTTTATTTCTTATTTGCTTTACTTGCAATTGTTAATTTTTTCAAAGTTCACTAAAAAATGGTAGATTTATGTTGATATACATATGATGCTTTATTCACATAATTTGATCAATAGATCAGCTGATTTTTATTAGGAGGGGATTTTTAATTGACTTATATATAATTTTATCTTTCTCTTACTAAGTATTCAAAGCATGTAATCCAAACAAACTAATATCATCATTCTTTTTTTTTTTTCTGTTAAAGATTCCATCCTCTCAAGTAAAGAAATTTAAATATTTTCCTATGTATTTCTCCCACTAACTGATGGCTATCAGCTAATATAATCAGATTTGAGATTTATACAAGTGCAAAAGGAGATATGGCCTTTCAGTAAGCATGAAGAATCTACTTTGTTGATTAACATTATCATCATAATAATTTATAGGAAACGTACTAACAGAAAAAAAGTACCACCTTTATAAAGGCTAAAAGGAAGATTTGACTAGATTTCTAAAGTTTTTAAATAAAGTATAAAAGACAAGCCTAGATACTTTAAGGGTTAAAAAAAATTATGAGAGAAAGAGATTTCTATCTATAAATATATCTTAGGTAGATATTTCTGTTTTTCTAGTTCTTTATTTCTCATTAGGATGGAAAATATCAAAAGCTTGAACTTCTACCAGTCTAGGCAGAAGAGTCCTACTCATCATGCACAAGAATGGAGGTTTTGATTCTAAGGGCATTTCTTACGACAAACTATTAGGCCATCAACCTGTAGCATCCAGAGATATAAGCTGGGAGCCAGGGAAAATTTATTCAGGCATATTCTCCAAGAATAATGATCCAGTGTCCTCCTGGCAACTAAAAGAGTAGAGATCAAAATGGATAGTATTGAAAAGTTCTCAATTGATGAAGTTTTGGTTCCTAGATGCAAAGACTGAAATCTTCAAAAATTAGTCAAAAGAATGAACTCTTTCAACAGGCACTACATATGTTTCTAATTCTCCAAGTTGGGATTTGCATAAACTTATCTTAAATGTTATACTTATTTTTTTTTTAAAGGACACTGCCCCATCCACTAAATTCAACATAAATCAGACACCAAATCCAAATATTTCTAGACCAGCCCTTACACAGTACTAGTTGAGAGTAAATCGACCTTAGTGCATTATTAAAGGCAATTAATTTTATTCCACACTCGTTAATGAAAAAAACTATGATTTGTACAAATATACAATTAGCCTTAAAAAGAAAAGGTTGAAAAACATAATAAAGAAATCAAGTCAGTGTTTGCAAATTTGCTATTTTAATATAAGAGCATTACAGGAATCAACTCAGTTAAGCTCTAGATCTAGTAGAAAGGTTAGCGGATGCAAAGTCTTCATCAATTCAAAGGCAAAAGTGTATCATTTACTCTGCAAAAAGTCATAGTATAAAGAACAATCATGGAATTCTAGATCATGTAGAAAAGCACTAATTCTTTAGTCAGATCAATTTAAACTATCTGCAGACCAAATAATGTTTTTGTTTGATTACATAATAGAATTTTTAAATTCAAGATTATCCCAGGAATAATGCATTTTGGCTGACAGTATGCATGAGGAACAAACCCTGGAAATTTTCTTCAAGTTATTTTGAAATCATTAATTCTGACATTTGTAAATAAGTGCAAAGTTTTGTCTTTTCCTAATTAAGTTGATTATCACTAATCTTTTGATTGCCATTGAAAATCTAACAAGTCAGAGAATAATGACATTATATACTGTATCCAAAATATGAATGAATCAATAAGGAAACTAAATTATTCTACTTACAGACTTCCTCTTCTGGGGAGACTCAGCTCCTTCTGCAAAAGAAAAAACAAAACATGTATATGAGATGCTGACTTAACCTTAGACTATTAGGACACCAAACAGGTAACATAAAATGTATCTTCCTTGTTATGCTTGATTTTGCATTTTCTATACTGAAGAGATTTTAGTGCAATTATTTTATACTGAATCCCTTCTTACATTATTCCTTTTACACACTGTGTTTAAGGTTCAAATACAGATTACCTAAATTCCAGAGTAGAAAAGACATCAATCCTTCCAAAGCAATGACTGTCAAATACTGAGTTGAGCTATGTGACACTATAATTGAGGGTAAGGGAAATCTGAGCAAACAAAGAACTTAACCAAAGAGGAAATAGAAGGAGGAGGGGAAATTCTGCAGGATTATAATTAAGTGAAAGGTGAAATGAAAAGGGAGGTAAATCAGACTATTTGCCCCCAACAGAAATAAACTCAGGCAAAATGTTGTGTCTACCAAAGATCATAATTTTAAAAAGATACACAGCAAAAGGTTTCCTGCTGGTGTTATTTTTTAAAGCAAATGTAACTTATGATTTAGGGTATTTTTTAAAGTAGGTTAATGAACCTCTAAAAAGGTAACCAGACAGCAACAACAATTAATAGATTGCTTTATAGTTTCAAAGGATGCTCTCACACTTATCTCAAATTAAGATCATTAGCTACATTTCTATGGTGTGTCTATGGGAAAACAAAACAAAACAACCCAGCAAACAAGCCAAACAAACCAATAAAAAGGGATACAGAAATACTTCCACCCACTAATGGAGCTTTCAGAGGCCTGGGCATTTGAGAATGATTATTTGATGATGATAACTAAAGAATAGGAAGCAATGAGTCATCTGGCTATTTTAACTCAAAATTTGAAAGGCTTGCCTAAATTTGGGCCTCCATTCCCATAATTATCATTTATTTTTTTGCCCACCTGGAGTTCAAACATCATTTTCTGAAAGGTGCTTCCCCTTCAGCTTCAAACTCACCTTTCCTGCTCCCTGTTTTTATTGGATCCTTAAATGTTTGTCATGGCCTGTGGCCTCCCATCTTACTTCTAAACCATGCAATTTACTTCAGCACAGCTTACAAAAAAAAAAAAACGGACTTGAGAGTAGCAGCCCAGAGGAGGATCCTGCCTTAAACAGAACTTAATCAAAGTTATTACTTTACTCTCTTATTAACTGGAAAATATATTTTGATACAGAGCTATAATAATCGGATGATTAATTGCAAGAAAAAAAAACCTTTTTTGGGACAGAGTATTTTCTCCCTTTTCCCAATAGCTAACCATTTTCTTTTCGAGCGCTGCAGGGTTCAGCGGTGGAATGCTTTTTGTTGCTTTGACTTTTTCTTTAATCCTTCATTAGCCCCAAGAAATTATAGTGTTTGCTGAACTTAGCCCCTGATTCCAAAACATAAATGCACCTTTATTTACTAAAGCCTCTAATGAGGAGAGAAATGTCTCTGACCAAGACAGTTTTCTTTGGAAACTGAAATGTAAATAGAACAACCAATGAATAATTTTCTATACATGTGTCTTGGGTTACGACAAGCTCTGAGAAATCTGTTTTGTATTCAGATTAAAAAGAAAAAGAAAAAAGAACTCCCTGGAAGTGATCATTCACCAGAGAGTTTCTTTTAAAAAGAAATTACTGATCTGAAAAGGAATACATACATATAACTGAATCACTGTGCAGTACACCTAAAGTCGACACACTATGGCAAAGCAACTATGCTTCCATAAATGAAGAGAAAGAAATCCCTGAGACCTACTTACAGCAAAAGGCCTAGAGCTTAATTAAACAAATAAATACTTCTGTTTAGTAAGCTCATCTGACAGCAGCTTTAAAAGAAAAGGAGGGGTACCTGAGGTGTTATCATTAATAACAGAAAAGAAGTCAGATGTTGTTTCAAGTCTGTAGGTAAACAGATCACTCAGAAGATAAGAGGGGAAAGGCCAAATAAATGATCCCCAAATAGTTCAATCAATCATATTCCACCAAATGACCCAACCGAAAGCTGGCTGCTTTGCTCTGAGAAAAAAAAAAAAACTGCTGAAATCGCAAGATAAGGGATACAAAGCCAATTCTGCTTTTAATCAGAAAGTCTTTCCAACAGCTCTAGAATTATGAGTTCTAAACAAGAAGAAAGGTCACAGTGGGAAACCGCGCACTGCCGCCCCCGGGACGGGAGCCGAGGTTGCAGGCAGAGGGGTAGGGGACATTGAATAGGCCACTGTCCACTGACCCCCAGGGTCCACGCTAGCCAAGCTGAGGAGCTAATCCACCTGACGACTTGAATGTCAGGCGCGGAACTGGAAACTCAATTTGGTAGCAAATTGGAATCAGATGTGACAGTAATAAAGTGAGAGAAATGAATGTGCTGTGGCCAAGACCTTGTGAACAATGGCTGCAAAAGCTGCAAATGCCAGGAAGACTGAGATATTGCAGATGGAGTCAGGAGGGGCTGTGGCCCTGCCTCGCGGGACCACACGCTGATGAACCTGAACTGGTGGGATGCAAATGAGCAACAATAGGCACTTACTGCTCCAACCCCCGTGATACTGCGTGTGTGTCCTCATCTTATTCTCCCAGTCTCAGGACAAGGTCACTAACACACACTTATATAATCAGGTAAGACATATGGTATTGGGCTCAGACAGTAAAGGATCTGCCTGCAATGCAGGAGACCCAGGTTGATCCCTGGGTCGGGAAGATCCCCGTGGAGAAGGAAATGGCAGCCCACTCCAGTATTCCTGCCTGGAGGACGGTATTAGTGCCATGCACGTGTGTGTGTGCTCAGTCGCTTCTCACTCTTGGTGACTCCGTGGACTGTAGCCCACCAGGCTCGTCTGTCCACGGATTTCTCAGGCATGAATACTGGAGTGAGTAGCCATTTCCTACTCCAGGGGATCTTCTAAACCTAGGGATGGAAACTGCATCTCCTGCAGTGGCAGGCAGATTCTTTACCATTATGCTACCTTTTAGTACCAGCCATAAACCAAAGCTTGTGCTGAGTATACGGGGAACCTGTGTTAAAAATTTAGCATAAGAACAGAGAAGGGAAGAGGGCAGAGAGAGAAGAGAGGGCAAGAAACATCCATCTGAACTAAAAAGTGTGATTATTAATCATCATAGGTTAAAGAAATGCATATGAGTATACTTAAGAATATTAGAATTTTAAAATTATTTTCATCGATGTTGATTCTTCAGTGACTTCTAATATTTTTTAGAATCACTTTATATCATTATTTGCTTAATATTATGATCTTCTTTGCCTCCTTTTCTATAAATTTTAACTGGCAAAAATATTTTCAGTGTACATACACTAAAAATAAAGACGAAGAAAAGTTAATCGGCCTAAGTGCTTTGTTGTTCATTTTGTGATCTCTTGATAAGACTGAGGACACACAGGTTCCTCAGGTTCATGAAGAGAATTTCTGTGAGTCCAGAAAGAAGAGAAAGCATAATAGGTGATTCTTTTCCTTTCCTTTTCCTTTCGGCCAACCTTGGCCTCAAACAGAGAAAACAACTTGTCTTATTCATAAAGACAACTGAGAAATAGCTGCAATGTTTAATATGTATGCAATATCCACAATGGCAACTTAAAAAATATATACTATTTCTGAAGTGTTTAATAGCTCTTCATACACAAATAAAATAACATGGTTATATCTGCCATGAAATCTTTGAACTATTCTTTTTAACTGATAGGCCAGCTATGATTTTAAAAAGAAAGGAGATGTCCATAGATAGTGTTACAAATAAGATATCTCCTCCTTCAAGAGGTGGGGCTTCATTCTCTTCCCCTGGAAAGGGGTTGTACTTAGTTCATGCCTGCTAAGTCGCTCAGTCGAGTCTGACTCTTTGGGACCCCATGGACTGCAGCCCACCAGGCTCCTCTGCGCATGGGGATTCTCCAGGCAAGAATACTGGAGTGGGTCGCCATGCCCTCCTCCAGGGGATCTGCCTGACCCAGGGATCAAACTAGCCTTAGTGTCTCTGACATCTCCTGCACTGGCAGGTGGGTCCTTTGACCACCACTAGCACCACCTGGGAAGCCCTGCACTTGGTGATTCCTTTCCAAGCAGAAAGGAGGGAAAGGGAAAAGCAGCAACTTCTCAGTGGAGAAACCTGGCAAACACCATCTGAACCAACCAACGTTAATGATACCAACGACAAGCATAGATATCATGTGCCCCTGCTATGATGTGATGGGAAGGACTTCACCTCTGTGGCATTCTCGCCCAAAATCCTGAGTTCCAGTTTCATTCTGGGAAAAAAAAAAAGCACCAGGGAAACCCAAACTTAGGGTCATCTATAGACACCTTCAAAACTGTCAGGGTTGTGAAAAACAAGGAACAACTGGGAAACTGTCACAGATCAGAGAAGACGCAGCCGGGATGGGGAATACATGTAAAAAAAAAAAAGATACACTATGGTTGTGATAAAATAAATAAATAAATTAATTAATTAATTTAAAAAAAAAAAGAGAAGACGCAGGAGAAACAATGACTAAAGGCAAGGATTTTGACTCATTAAAAAGAACACTAGTGGAAAACCTGGTGATAGTCAAATAAAGTGTGTAGTTTAGTTAATAGTAATGTATAAATGTCAATTTCATAATTTTGACAAGTGCATTATGGTTATATGTTAACACTAGTGGAAACTGGGGGAAGGGTATCCAAAAATTCAACCATCTTGCAACTTTTCTACAAATCTCAAACAATTTCAAAAATTTTTTTAAAATTCTCTAAAAGAAGGAGAGAGAAGTAGGGAGAAAGAAAAACTCTGTGTGTGTATGTGCGTATTTTAGAGCAGTGGTCCCTACCACTGATTGGTAGGCACCAGCAACTGATTTTGTGGAAGATAATTTTTCCATGGACTGGGTGTCAGGGGGGATGGTTTTGGATGATTCAAGTGCATTACATTTACTGTGCACTTTATTTCTAACCTAATGCTGCTGCTGATTTAACAGGAGGTACCAGTCTCTGGAAGTTAGG